CTAAATAATACAGTGTAAAGTATCTTTTGATTACAAAATGTTACTAGCCCTCAACCTAACCCTTAATGATTCAGTGTAAAGTATCTTTTGATTACCAAATGTTACTAGTCCTCAACCTAACCCTAAATAATTGAGTGTCAACTATCTTTTGATTACAAAATGTTACTAGCCCTCAACCTAACCCTAAATAATACAGTGTAAAGTATCTTTTGATTACAAAATGTTACTAGCCCTCAACCTAACCCTTAATAATTCAGTGTCAACTATCTTTTGATTACAAAATGTTACTACCTCTCAACCCAACCCTAAATAATTCAGAGTAAAGTATCTTTTGATTACAAAATGTTACTACCCCTCAACCCAACCCTAAATAATACAGTGTAAAGTATCTTTTGATTACAAAATGTTACTACCCCTCAACCTAACCCTAAATAATTCAGTGTCAAGTATCTTTTGATTACAAAATGTTACTACCCCTCAACCTAACCCTAAATAATTCAGTGTCAAGTATCTTTTGATTACAAAATGTTACTAGCCCTCAACCTAACCCTAGATAATTCAGTGTCAAGTATCTTTTGATTACAAAATGTTACTACCCCTCAATCTAACCCTAAATAATTCATTGTAAAGTATCTTTTGATTACAAAATGTTACTAGCCCTCAACCCAACCCTAAATAATACAGTGTAAAGTATCTTTTGATTACCAAATGTTACTAGCCCCCAACCTAACCCTTAATAATTCAGTGTAAAGTATCTTTTGATTACAAAATATTACTAGCCCTCAACCTAACCCTTAATAATTCAGTGTAAAGCATCTTTTGATTACCAAATGTTACTAGCCCTCAACCTAACCCTTAATAATTCAGTGTAAAGTATCTTTTGATTACAAAATATTACTAGCCCTCAACCTAACCCTTAATAATTCAGTGTAAAGTATCTTTTGATTACAAAATATTCCTACCCCTCAACCTAACCCTAAATAATTCATTGTAAAGTATCTTTTGATTACAAAATGTTACTAGCCCTCAACCTAACCTTAAATAATTCAGGTTGAGGGCTAGTAACATTTTGTAATCAAAAGATACTTTACACTGAATTATTTACAAATTTGAAAGAATTGCAGCAATTGCAAGCAACTCAAACCAACGATATGAAAATTGAAAGAATTGCAAGCAACTCGAACCAACGATATAAAAATTGAAAGAATTGCAAGAAATTGAAAAAGTTTCACACAAAAAGTTCGATAATTGCAATAGAACTTAAATAGTAAATTGACAGATTTAAAACACAATGTGAGTCATATTCTTATGTTGTTTCAATGACTTTTAGCAATAAATCCCTCTTACGTTTTACTTTTTTTTGTTTAAATCGTGGTTCTTTGGAAGAATTATCATTAGTTATAATGAATTGATATTAAAGATAAATATTACAACCGGGTATCCATACAACGTGTTTTTCTCGACATATTTATAGACGGAACATTTTACACGAAAATAAGTGACGCGTTTTGCCGCCGCTATCGAGTTGGTTACCCATGAAATATGGGGCAAGGTGCGGGATTCATAAAGAAAATCGAAACAAACCAATTTTAATTATTTTAAGGAATATCTGAGGAAACATCTAAGACATAAACAAAATTTTTCTGTTTTTTTATTTTTTCATTTTGACGAAATTCGGTGTTGAATCCTTATAAGTTATATGCACGAATATAGGTTACACCACTGTATTATTATTGTTGAACTTCCACCTGCCGCCATCTTTAAAAAGTCTAATCTAATCCCCTAACCACCTCCTCGGACGGTGAGGATGATTAGCCTAATCAGTTAAGGTAAACTTTCTCACATATGTATCGATAAGCCTAATATTCCTGACTCACAAATGCACAAAATAGCTAATCTTATCAAATCGAATCGGCCCACAAAACGCCTTATATAATTGACTTCAACCAGGTTTTGGACTCAGACCACTAATAAAGTCTGGTCTGTGGTATTTTTACACATCCCCTTCTCTTCCACTATTCTTTGCATTCTTTTTGGGGGTCAAGATATTGATTTTTATATGTAAAATTTAAGATTTTTTGCAAGTATGAAGATATTTAGATACGGAAGAATCGTCGTTTCCTGTAAGCCTATGGGAAACGTCTCACTCAAGCTGTAATCTCCAAATTCTACCAAACAATCAACAAAACAAAAACCAGAGTAACCATATCTACCAAAAAACCAACTGAAATGGACATTACACCTGCACCATCTAGAGCCACCGAACCAAACCCCTAAACGAGCCCGAAGTTCACCTACTCCTAGTCCAGCAGACATAGGTAAACGCTCTCGTAGAGAGGGCACACCCCTTCTCTTTTCACTTTCAGACTCGTCTTCCCCTTCCACACCATCTGAATCTTCACCACGTGATCCAGGATCCGCCACCTTT